GAGTTGTGTAAACGAGTGCTAGACCAGAACACATTATCACTGAACCTAAAGTCATATGATAAATGTCTATATACATCTAATGTAAAAACCTTCCCATAGATTAAAATTGGTGGATATAATGCTCTCTTGTGGTATATCTACTCTTCGTCGTTAAATATTGGTAAATTCAATTATTCTGGTGTGAAAGCAATAGTTTAAAAGAAGACTTACGTGTTATCGAAAGATGTCAGGTGAGGGTCGCCGCTACTGCAGCACTTTCGTACAGGTCTGTCTCGATCATGTGTTCGTACCTGTTGGTTTATAAATGACACTCAGTTGACAGTATGAGACATTTCTTAATTATCAACATCGATTTCAATTGACCATATTTCTTTTGGGAATATAACTATTTATACTATTCACATGCCAACAGATCTGTGGTCAAGCGACAGAAATGCTTTTCAACAACAGGTGTTAATGTCAATATATCACTGATACGCAGCAAACAATTAATATCCAGACGTGCTAGAATAATAAAGGGTATGTTTGGGTACACGTTTTACGTGTACATCTACGCGTAACGTCACGCGTTTCTGCGGTGACGTGACCGAATCCCGAGAATGTCCTCGCTTACGCGTAAACATACCCGATAGCGATTTTTACGTGTTGACAGCTGATTCCATCTATCGTGTGCATTTAATTTCACTTTGGGACAAACAAGTATGTACACTCAGTAATTTGTTAATGTCAGCCATATGTTGGGTAACATTGTCATAAACTCAGACAATTATATTTTAGGCGTAATTCATGATTATGTAAGAAACTTGCCCAACATACCCACGACTACACGTTGGTCGACAAGGACCGGACTGTCCCACCTAGGTATATTTCTATTTCATGTAGCAGGTTCACTGATTGCAGGCTGATTGATAACAACACGAGTGTGTTACGCCCTCTCTTTTCATGTGTATTATGAATTTTCTTTTTCTTATTGTTTAACCTACTGTACCATTGACAAGTCCAGTGAGCGTTTCACAGCGATGCCAATTAACAAAAACAGCCCTGTATTTCGTAGTGAGGCTACAAAGGTGACGTCATTGTATTTTGTAGCAGCAAAATCGCGAAATGTAATTTTTATTTTCGTAATACTCTCGTCACTGAATAAATGTATTTGTCTTCTCAAATAAAAAAAATCTGTGTAGCCGAACCTCTTTAAATGTAGGTTGCCAACGCAGCAACATTGTCATGCATTTGCATACGGTAGGATTGTTCGTTGCCTGGGATCTAACACCGAAATCGATTGGAAAGATATAATAGTCAGTCATAAGACATTTAAAAAGAACCAACCTGCACAACATCTGGTATCTTGTAGTTGTTCCAAACTCTGGAGTATGGTGTTTTGATGCTTGGAAACTCAACCGAAGTCGACCAATCACCATCATTAAAGAAGTCTCTTTTAGCTTTTAAGTATACCATATGCATACCCATGGAGTTTCCAGGCGTGAAAGTGGTACCACACTCATCTCTAGCAACCACATCTTCTTTGAAAGGCGTATTCCAACTGTTGCGGTCAGATATACTGGCTTGAACTTTCATCTGGCAAGGGTAATATGAAGGTACAGTTCCACTCCTACACACGAAGGGCACGGTAGATTCCATTTGAAATGACACCTCTCCATCGTTTTCATAGAGTTCTATAACTGACGGTGCGTGAATCTATGATATTTGAGAATATATGTATATTAATATCTTTATGTAGTAACTACACAGGTATATAAAAGAGAATTTTGATACTCGTAGAATGTAATATTAGAAACGTTATTTGTGACTGTGTGTTTTTCTTTTAGCAGCACCATTTTTTTGGAACGCGTGTTGCCGCTTTCACGGTGTATTTATGGTTATGGAGTCACTAAACTGTGGGCTAGTTCCGTGAGCAGATTTCACGCATCTTAACAGTAAATCAGCAAGCAGTAATGGCGGTACAGTGGAACCACGAGCTACATTAATGACAATCTATGAAACTGTCATGATTTATATTTCTATGTGTTTAGCTGAGGCCGTTTTTCGTAGTCATAGCGACATTCACTGATGACCCCTGGATAATCCATATCTGCTCGTAACTTGTCATGATCAGGTTCATTCGTATGTTAGGGAATTAGTAAATGGAACAACTGGCTGGTATAATGGTCGACTATGGAAGTTGATTAAGTCAACGAGGCGCCGATAAATATGAGAGTTATGTCCCGACATCGGGGCAATAAATCTAACATTATGGCGTGTTGACTACTTGACTGTTGCGTGATTGGCTATATGTGTGGAAGCCATGCCTCGAGCTCTTAAACTCATCTGTAATTGGTTAACAGTTGGAAAAGTGAATAAAGCTGATCTCAGTTAGTTTTGGCAAGCTCACGCCGAGGTACACACGTCTTGACGCGGTCTTAAGAGAGTTCCGACGTGGCGTTGAGATGAGAGGTTGAAACGATTCGATTCTCTGTGTGTTTTTGTTCGATAGAAAGGAGAATTCCCTGAACCTGGTACCTCTGACGTGAAGGTTTAATAACACTCAAATTAATCTGTCACAAACTATCGGTATATAGCGGGAACATTCAGACTAATCATAAAACTAATCACAGCTTTCACAAAAGTAATTTGCCTAGCAATATTTTAGGCAATGATTAGTTGGTGGTGTCACATATTCAAGTTGCCTGAAGAACAAATCAGATTTGCATATTACATAGCTGTACGTCATCAAAATTACCATATTTCCACAATAGCAACTAGAACCATAGTGAGGGATGATTGATTACTTTGCATGTACATGGACATTGCATAATTATTTAGTGAAATAAAGAAAACGTAAAATGATATATTTTGATCTTTATGCAAATTTGAATTACAGGCCACATTATACAGGTGACCATTACATAGAGGTCACTTCTTATGTAAATTACGTTGGACTGGTTTCTATGAGCAAGTAATCTTTATGCAAGGTGGTATAACTTGGCTTTGGCAATGTGTGTTATTGTCCTACTTACTACGTCATACTTACTATTATGCCTGCAAAGTAAGGATTACTTATCAACTCTCCTAGATATATACCACCATCAGTTATCTTAACTGAACACTTGATCTGAAAAATCAAACATAATCAAGTTTTGTGAATCACTGAATCATGGTTCCGGGTTTCGCTATTCTTTACATGTCCTTAAAGCGGAGAGTCGTCACCTGCACATGCGTCAGATGGCCATAGCGTTTCAATGTTTACAAACAAGCGTCTACCCATGAGCCTTTGACAGGCGCAGGTGACAACCATAACCGATGTTATAATCGAATGCCTGACAGAGTGACATAAATGGTTGACTTACGGAAGACCCCATTTTTCCTATCCATTTGTCTTCTGTTAGAACAGACTGTACTGCACCATTAGCAATGTTCTCAGTAAAAATAGTAGTGTTTTCAGCAAACCATTCAAATTCCAGATTCCATGTATCCGAGGAGTGTATAAATGTAACACCACAGGTAAATAGTATTTCATCAGTACTAGAAATAACTAGGGATGTATCTGTCAGAGGGAATTAAAAAAATAAATTACACCTCATAATACAGAAATATGTCAGTTGAGAAAACATATAATAATTGTAAAAAGGAGACAAGAAGAAATAAACAGTAAAACACAATAAAATATTTGTTTAATTTATCATTGAGGTATAGATGTATGTTTATGATCCATAAGAAACAGGTATTCTAGATGATGTTGGTGTTTAAGGTGAACCATTCTGAATCATAACGAGGACAAAGTCTTTACAGAAGACATACTAGTATTCTGCAGCAAACATGGAAGAACATTTATGTTACGGATAATTACAATTTGCTCACCAAAACATTACACCAGTTGATTATTTAAAAAAAAAAACCCTTGGCTGTGGGTGGTATAATGATAAAAATTCTCAACTAATTAACGAATGAATCACACATACCAGTTGATGAATGTAGTTCACAACACGTGCCATGGTAGTGTAATGGACATATACAATACTGAGCTGTAAGTTGACCACCATTATGACAGTTACGATTGCATGTTTCTTCCTCAGTGTCCATGATAACATTACCAATCACACAATAACGTGCGCGGATACCATGTGGACCACAGGTCGCACTACAGCTACCCCATGCATGCCAAGCACATACAACAGTTGTCTGAGCCGTGGTGGGCATGGTTGTCGTGGATCTGGTCGACTGCAAGCTTAGAGGGAGAGCTGATGTGATTCGGTAGTACTTTCAGTTTCCTTGCTATCTTCAGCTGTTACAGTAGTTGGATGCGTACTTTGAGGTTTGTCAGTTGTATGCCCAGTAGGTCCAGTTTCATCAGTGCTTGATGCTTGTGATGCGGTTTGACGGCGGATATTTGGAGAAACTGTAGACATGTCAGTTGTAGTAAGGTTGGTTGTATCGGTTTCATACACGCCCATTAATATTGTTTTAATTGCACTAGTGCTGGAATAAGATGAAGTACCGCCTGTCTTTGTTGAAACATGGGCAGTTGTCTCAGCATAGTTGCCGTTGTGCATTGTTGCAGCTTCAGTTGTAACATGTCTATGTGTCTGCAAGCTTGGTGAAACAACTAGATGGGTACCACTGGATCTTTCATCAGCTTTGCGTTCTTCCGCAGTACTCAGATGCACGCCTGTGGTTTGGCCAGATATATGTCCAGTAGTAGTTTCAATGTTATCAGTTCTTGGTGTTTGTGTTGAGGTTTGGAAAGGAATGGAGGTCGTAACTGGAGCTATGTTATTTGCAGTCATGCTGGTTGAATCAGACTTATACATGTATGTTGTGCCATAATAAGGTGAACTACTGTCAGTGTTCTTCGATGCAGCAGTCATTGTCCCAGCATTATTGTTATCACGTGTCATTGTAGCTGCAGTCATGAATGGTTTATTTGACTTATAAGCTTGATATGGATCAGTTGTACTTTCACGTGTTACGCTTTCTCCGGCTGAAGTCAGATGTATACCTTCTGTTTGATCAGTTCTATGCTGTATAATAGGTCCAGTTTCACCAGTGTTCGATGCATGGGTTGAGGTTTGAAAGGTGATCATTGGAGAAACTGTTGCAGACATGCTGGTTGAATCAGATTTATCCACGAAGCTTGGAGAAGCAGTTTGATGTGTACTAGCTGTACTTTCACTTAACTGGCTTTCTGTAGCTGCAGTCAGGTGTATAACTTCTGTTTGATCAGTTTCATGCTGTATAGTAAGTTCAGATGCACCAATGTTTGATGTTCGAGTGAGGTTAGTGGGCGAAACTGTAGATATGCCATTTTCAGTTATA